AACAATTGTGCCTCAGGGACTTTTTAAAAGATTCAACTTAGACAGAGGCCTTCTCAGTTTCACTTTCAGTTTTAGGCAGTTTTGCCAAACTTTACATGTGTTAAAGTGATCCTGAGAGAGGAAGAAGCCAACTAGATTTGCCAACATGAGATTAACTTAGAATCAGTGATAGTCCCAGACCAGAAATGTTTGAATAAGATCCTGAACAGATTACTTGAAGCGTTTAAGCTCAGGTGTATGAATTCTTCAGATGAAGTTACCAGATTTTTCAGACTGAGTATTGAATTAGAAGAAAACCTGTCAAGGTATTAGAGAAAATCATTTTCCGACAGGAGTTCTGCACAAGTGGTGGTTTTTAGGTACCATACCGGGGTGTTGTGGGCTCTGGTGTTAACAGGATGATATTTCACTGTGGGCTTCAAAATCTTTAAATTTGTGTTATCAGTAAATAGCCTTATTTATTCAATGTAATCTTATTTTTTATTGAATTAACTTCAGTTTTACTATTAGAACAGTTTACAACATTGCTTGCTGATGTATCATCGAGAGATTAAGCCCAGTTAAGCTCTGTTTCAATCTGAGATCTGATTTATCCAGTAACAATGTCAGTTGGGATTTAACAATCTGAACAGTCAAAGGATAATCAGAAGTGACCAACTCAGGACAGAAAGGGGATCCGAGCATGGAGGTAGAGAGTGGTTTAGGAATTAAACTAATACTTTGATTCTGTCTTCATCAAGGAAGACTGCTTCCAAACAGGAGGTAGCTGAGACACGAAGTTTGAAAGTAGATAAAGGGGAAGCATTAGAAAGTTATCAGGACCAGATATACAAAACCTAGGACAATGCTGAGGCTGGAAAGTGCAGAAGTACTGACCCGAATTCTCCAATCCTCAGGGTTGGTGTCGGAGGACTGTGCCCATATCCCTCCAAACTTTTCCTATTCACGTACTTATCCAAGTGATTTTTAATTGTTGTAACTGTACCCGCATCCACCACTTCCTTGGGAAGTTCATTCCACAGGCAAACTGCTCTGTTAAAAAAAAATTGCCCCTCATTCTTTAAATTTCTCTCCTCTCACCTTAAAAACATGCCCCCTAGTCTTGAAATCCCCATCCTATGGAAAAGACACTTACCATTCACCCCTCATGATTTTATAGTTTAGTTTGGGATTATGTTTGGCATGGACTGGTTGGACCGAAGGGTCTGTTTCTTTGCTGTGTGACTATGACCAGACAGTTACGCATGATAAATAAGGCTTTAAAGGATAAATGCAGCAACTAAAGGTTAAAATATAGCTGAATCAGGAAAGTGAGCCATCTTTCAAAAAGATCAATGGCAGAAATAACAGTTAGTCAGGTAAGGGAGATCAGCACAGGCTGGGAACACTTTTTCTTGATGTGGACACAGACTGCTGTGTGGCAATCACGTTGCTTGAAGAGAAATCCAGAACCCCGGGCTAACCTTCTGGTGAAGATGGATCCAAATCTCACCACGGCAGATGGTGGGATTTGAAATCAAACAATACCCGGAATCAAAAGCTAGTCTAATAGTGACAGTACACACATGGCTGTAAAAACCCAATTAATTAATTGGTGCCCCTTTAGGGAGGAAGTCTGCCATCCTTACTCCAGACCCACAGCAATGCGGTTGACTATTAACTGCCCTCTGAATTGATCTAGTAAGCCACTCGGTTGTGTCAGACCATTATGAAGACCATAAACAAAAGTCACGAAACTAGAAGGACAAACCTGCATTGACCTAGACACCGAAAATGACAAAAACTCAGATCTAACAACCTGCAGAGTCCTCCTCACCGACACCAGGGAGGAGGGGGATTGCGGTAAAATTGGGACAGCTACCGCGCACAGCGGTCAAGCAATAGGCAGAGAGTCACAGTATTTCACTTTGCAGACAACGTCCCACACACCACAGACCATCGTAATCCGTGGGTGCGTACTGTCCCACCAGCAGCAAGGAGCAACACTGTGGCATACAGGCAAGAAAAGGCTGCCTGGAAGGCCTCAAAACTGATAAATATGGCAAATAGGTCATACATAGACAAGGAAACTTCCTCTGGGCCTATTCCCTCCCTCCTCTACCAGTTCGCTCAGGCTGGGAAATCAACCATAAGTGGCAGCATGCATAACTAAAAACCTGGTCAACAACAGGACTACACGCATGCCGAGCAACAGAATCAGCGTCCAAGGCTCAGCGATTCCACAAACTATAGACTGGATCCCAATTTCTGCAGCCTGTCACATCCAGTTGCGAAACATGTTGATAATCAATCAAACAATGCGAGGTAGGAGACTGCACACATGTTCCTGACTTCCACAATGGTGGAGCCCAGCCCATTAGTGACAAGTGAGGAAGTATTTGCATCCATCTTCAGCCAAAAATGCTGAGCAGACCACCCGCCTCTGCCTCCTCCAGTGGCCCCCAGCATCATAAATGCCAGTCTTCAACTAATTTATGATACACTGGCTACTGCAAAAAAAAAAAAACAGACACCGACAACATTCTAGCAAAACTACAAGACCTGTGCTCCAGAAACAGGCTCACCACTAGACAAGCAGTTGCAACACAACACTAGCATTTACGTGACAGTATAGAAAATATACCACGTTTGTTCTTGCACGAAAAGCAGGTCAAATTCAGCCCGCCCAATTATTGTCTCATTGATCTACTTTCCATCATCACAAAAAGAGTGATGGCAAGGGTTGAGTTGAAACTATGTCACCGCTCTGCCAGAGTTTCTTGGTGTTAATACTGGAGTTCCCAAGCACCATCGCACATGCTCCAACACCTCAAGGGCTGAGCAGCTCACCGGCACAATTCCCGGGGTTATTAAGGATGCGTAGTAAATGCTGACTTAGCCAGCAACACCTAGATCCTGTTACTGAGTAGACAGACAAAGAAACAGCAGCACTTGATTAGCAATGCAGATACCCGTGTTAATGCTCTGGGGACGTGGGCGCATATCACACAGCTGGTGGAATTTGATTTTAGTTAATAAAATCTGCGATATCAGAAGTGAGTCTTGGGGTTAATGACCATGTCAACGATCATAGAATCCCTACAGTTGGGAAGTAGGCCATTGGCCCATCAAGTCCACACCGACACAATGAAGAGCATCCCAACCCCCTACTCTACCCCTGTAACCCCATGCATTTTGTGGCCAATCCACCTGGCCTCAACATCTCTGGACACTATGGGCAATTTAGCATGGTAATTTAGCCAAACCACCCTAACCTGCACATCTTTGGAATGTGGGAGGAAACCGAAGCATCCAGAGAAAACCCACGCAGACACGGGGAGAACGTGCAAACTCTAAACAGATGGTCACCCGAGGCTGGAATCGTACCTGGGTCCCTAGCTTTGTGATGCACAGTGCTAACCACTGAGCCACTATGTCACCCAATTCAATCATCGATTGTTGTAAAAATCTATCTACTTCACTTCTTGCTTTTAGGGAGGGAAATCTGCTGCATTTACATGGTCTTACCTAAATGCACCAAGCAACAATCCTGGCTATCCAATGAAGTGGCCTAGGAAGCCAGTGAGAGGACAATTAAGAAATGAGCAACAAATCTTCAGAAGGTCAGTGTGGATTCAAAGGGCTGAATGGCCTGCTTCCACACCTAAGGGATTGTATGATTCTATTCTGTAAAAGCTGCCTATGCCCACAATGACTACACTACATAAATGATTGAAAAGAAAGGGCAGAGTTGACAATTTGCAGAGGATATGAAACATGTAAGTGCTGCAGTTGGTGAGGGTAGAAATTGACTTCAAGAGTTACAGACATGCTAATTGAACAAGCAGACCCATGAAGAACAGTATTTGATGCAGTGATGTGTAAAGTGCTGGAAGAATAAGGACAGGTAATGGAAAATAAACATACATTTCTGAAGGATTGGACACCTTAGTTTAAATGCATACTAATTACTGATGGTCACAGAACAGTTTGCAAAAGTGATAGAGTAAAAAGCATGTGCGATCGCAGTCTTTTAATCAATTGAGGTAGAGGATACAAAAGCAAGTACATTATGAAGAACATTCCTTCAACATTCTAAGAATAAGGGGTAAGCCATTCAGGAACGAGATGAAGAATTTTTTTCCCCCCACAGTTGAGAGCCTGGGGAATCCTCTCCTACAGGAAGCTGTTGGGGCCAGTTCATTAGATGTATTCAAGAGGGAGCTGGACATGGCCCTTGAGACTAAAGGGAACAAGGGGTACAGAGAGAAAGCGGGAATGGGACACAGATTGCAAGATTAGCCACGATCATATTAAATGTGGTGCAGGATCAAAGGGCCGAATGGCCTACTCCGGTATCTATTTTGTATGTTCCTATGTAACACTGGTTACGACTGAAGTGGAGTATCTGCTCGTCAATAAGGCAGGACGCAAAAGGGCATTTGAGAAAATAGAGAGGATTCACGGGAATGGGAGTGGTTGGGGGTGGGGCGGAAAGTGAGTAGCTGTGCCAACTTTCGTGTCCATGGAGAGGATCTGATATGGGCGCCCAAAGTCCTGAGGGGTGTGGACAGAGTAGGCAGGTAAGGAGAAGCTTTTCTTTCTGGCAGCAGGGTCAAGCATCACAGGGGACAAATTTAAGTTGAGGGGCAAATGAACCAAAGGCTTTAGCAGGACTCATTCTGCAGCAATGGTTCGGATCTGGATCACGCCGTGCGCATGGAGCAGTAGACCTGATCGTGGAGTAAGCAAAGCTGCTCAGGCAGAGACATGAAACGTTGAATGACCTGTCTTTGTGCTGTACCTATTCTGTGGACCTGTTCAGAGCCCCTTAACTCTCCTTCACTGTCTGAAACGCTCCTCTCTAACGTCACTGAACAGGAAGCTGGCCCTGAAGTCTATCACGTCTCTATCGAACAATCTCTTGCAAAATCCTGGAGGTTCCCGCTTGACAACAACCAAACCCCAGCAGAGAAAGAGACGGCCACCCGTGAGAAGGTGAGTGGAAAATAAATACTTACTTGATCCTCGAATGCTCCCTCACTGCTGGCTCCACTGATATTGCTGCCCGTCCGCCTGCAATTAAAGAGCCCATATTACTGACAGCAACTTCATGTAAACAGCTCCTGCCTCCTGTCCGAGGTGGGAACCAACTTCTTTAGCAGCAAATATTCAACAGTTATTGTCCAAAAGGAAACCAAGAGCTCTCCAATGAGATTTAAAAAGGCAGCAGCTAGTGAGGCAGCAATGAAAATCGCAACAGGTTACAGTTGGAGAAGTGGCGAGGCCGTGGAGGTTCATCGGGGATAGAGACGTTCCAAGGAGGACAAGATGATAGTACGCTGTGGAGGAAGTTGCAGAGATAGGGAAGGCTAGTCGTGGCTAGAGGAAGTTATTGAGATAAGGGAAGGTTGTAGGGGCTGAAGGAAGTGAAGAGCATTCAAAAGGGAAGTACGCCACTCAGACCCTCAAACCTGTTCTGCCGTTCAGTACGATTATAGCTGACTTGTTTGTTTCAACACTTCCTTCTACCCCCAATAACACTTGACAAGTCTTATCCACCTCTGTCTCAGCAATATTCAATGAACTCACCTCCACTCCCTTCTGAAGCAGAGTTTCAAAATCTCAACACCTAGACAAACAATTCTCATTTGACTGGACATGTCAAAACAGCATCCCCCAGACCTTGACTGACCAGACGACAGAGAAAACATTTTCCGCATCTGCCTCTTAGATCAAGCAAAATCTTACAGGTTTCAATCAAGTCACATCTTGCTCTTTTAAACTCAAACGCAGGCTATCCAACATATTGTTGTAAAACAACCTAACATCAATCTAGTAATTCTCCTCTGAACCGCCTCCAATGCATTTACTTCCTTCCTCATACAAGGAGAGTAATGCCGCACAGTATTCAAGATGTGCTCTCACCAACTCCCTCTATAACTAAAGCATAACATTCTTACTTCTATGTTCAATTTAACTCATAATTAAAGACAGCATCTCATTAACCTTTGAGATTATGTGCTGTACCTGCTTACTAACTTTCAAAAATTATGGCAGAACAACTAACTCCCTCTGCATCGTGGAATTTCGGAGTCTTTCTCCATTTGAAAGAAAACACTGCATTTGTTTACAATTCTTCCTGCCACATTCTCCCACAAAACTCCAGACTTCTGCCCACTCACCCAACTGATCCATGCATCTATAGCATCCTTCATCTCTTCTCCACACATGCTGACTAAATAGCTTGGTGTCATCTTGAATTCAGCTACTGTGCCTGGGCCCCCCCCACATCCAAGTCGTTGCTGTAATTGTGAAATGTTGTGGCATCAGCAGAGACCTTTGCAGGACTCTATTTGTTACATCATGCCAATCAGAGACAGACTCACTTATGAATTCTGTTTTCTGTCAGCCAGTCATTCTTCCATTCATGCTAAGATGTTTCTCCCTACATCATAAGTGCTTGTTTGCAACAGTAGCCTTAGATTTGACATTTCATCAAATACCTTCTGGAAATCCAAACATACGTCTCCAGACGTCTCTTTATCCAGCATATGCTACTTCTTTAAAATACCTCTTATAAACGTGACTTCCTTTTGGGGAGGCCATACTGATTCTTCCCAATTACCCTCAGTTTTTCCAAGTGCACAGCTATAAAACTCTTCAATGATCGATTCTAAAATCTTTGCCATGACAAACATCCATTTAACTGGTCTACGGTTCCCAATTTCCTATTCCTCCACCTTCTTCAAGATTTGCTACTTTCCAGACTAATGAACTCTCTCCTGAATCTAGGGAACTTTGGGAAATTGACATCAACACATCTATTACCCTTATTAATAACCTCTCAAGACCCTACAATGAAATCCATCTGGATAACTAATTTCCTTCTCTGCAATACAGCACGAACCAGCCCCAAATAATCTAGTAAGAGAGGTAGGGAAAATTCTAAGGACTGGAGGAGGTTACACAGGTTGGGAGGGTTGAGAGCACTGGAACAGTCAGAGATACACACAAATTAGAAGGAGATCATTCATGCAAGATTCCAAAACTGAACAATGACCCACAAGGTGATGGGAACACAGACGAAGAATGGGAAACAAGGTGGGCACTTGAGGAAAATAAACTTGCAGGACCACAGGGCTTCAGAAGGGAAAAGAGACTGACAGGATTGGTCTGCAGAAAGTTGGCATGGGCTGAACGGACCAAAAGGGCTCCTTCTGTGCCAATCGGACTAACACTGTGGGGCACCCTGCAGTTGTGAAAGACACATGATAAGCTGTAATTAATTCCTTTTTGTTATTGGTAGGATGGGGTGTCCTAGGTTCCTCAGCCAGAGCTGAAACGGGGATGGGAAGAGCAAGCAAGAAACCTACCGAAGGGCACAGTTCCTGGCCAGCCCAAGACAACGGGGCTGACCAGGGCACCTGGTAAATCAATGACCACCACACCCCAGACCTTTCCCGGCAGTGGCACTGACCTGTGGTACCGCGAATCGGCCTGGACAGTGATAAACTCCGCCACATCCTCCATCGCGTCAAAGAATTCATTCTCGTCGTCCTCATCACTCAGATCCCGGCTACTGGTGCTCCCTGAAAACACAAAGCTTTTCACCAGAACAGGAAGACAACAGTGAGGAAGGAAGGAAGGGATCAGCCAGAGATGGATGAGAAAGAGCGGCACACACACACAAACTACAAGCAGTCTTGCATCCCTTCGTTAAAAAGGTATTCTTTCTTGGAAGGCAGTTCAGAGAAGGTTCTCTAGGATGATCCTAGTACGGTGGGGGGTGGGATTGTTTAAGATTAAGCAAGTAGGGACTCTCTTCACTAGACTTTAAAAGAACGAGAAGTGATTTCATTGAAACATATCGGATTCTTAAGGGGCTTGACAGGGTAAATGTCGACAGGTGTTTCCCCTCACGAGTGTGTCCAGGACCAGAGGGCAGTCTCAGAATAAAGGAGCAATACAAGACTGAGATAAGGGTTTTCTGAGGGTTGAGTGTCTTTGGAGCTCTTTACCTCAGTGTGCTGTGGATGCAGGGTCCTTGTGTATATTTAAGGCTGGGATGGATAAATTCTTAATTAATCAGGGAATCAAGGGTTGTGGGAAAGGTCAGGAAACTGGACATGAGGAAGATTGGATCAGTGGTGATTATACTAAGTGGCAGAGCAGGTCTGAGGGGCTGAAAGGCCTATTTGTATACATTTTTCCCCCGCTTTTATTCATTCACAGAATGAGAGCACAGCTGGCCAGGCTGCATTTATTGTCCATCCTTAATTGCCCAGAAGGCAGTTAAAAGTCAACCACATTGCTGTGGGTCTGGAGTCACATGTAGGCCAGACCAGGTAAGGATGGGAGTTTTCTTCCCTAAAGGACATTCGTGAACTGGATGTGTTTTTCCCCAACGATTGACAATGGATTCACAGTCATCATTAGGTACTTTATTCCAAATATTTATTGAATTCAAATTCCACTGTCTGCCGTGGAAGGATTCAGTCCAGCAATAATAAAACTAGGCCACTGCTTCCCTCTATTTCTTATGGTCTTACACACGCAGATGCAAAAACAGCCAGCAAAAACCTCAAGTCAGAAACCTGTGCCTTTCCTGCTGTTGCTGTGTGTGTAACACAGCACCAGATTGAACAGCATAAGTAATAAACTGCTTCACTGGCAGCCCTGCCGTCAACCTCCAGATTCCTAAAATCTGGAATTCCCTCCGTAAACATCTCCATCTCTCTGCTTCACCAGCACCTACACACCCACCCAGCCCTGCACTCCTCCTCTACACAATAAAATCTAGCTCCTTGGTCTCGTGTTTGGTCACGAGACCGAATATTACTTTTAGAGGTATTGCTTTCTGCGGCACTGAAATTTTAACCGTGGGCCCATGAAAACATCTTGGAATGTTTTACTATGCAAAAGGTGCTACACAATGACAGAAACTAGAGGGCACAGGCTTAAGGTGAGAGGGGAAAGATTTAAAAAGGGACCTAAGGGGCAACTTTTTCCACGCAGAGGGTGGAATGAGCTGCGAGAGGAAGTGGTGGATACTGGTACAATTAGAACATTTAAAATGCATCTGGATTGGTACATGACAAGGAAGGGTTTATAGGGATACAGGCTAAATGCTGGCAAATGGGACTAGATTGATTTAGGATATCAGGACGAGTTGGACCAAAGGGTCTATATCCATGCAGTACATCTCTATGACTCCATAAAAACGAGTTTGCAAAGATTTCCCTAAAAAGGTAGAGGGGACTAGAATGGGAGGGGACCTCTGTAGACAAGGGCAGGTTGGTTAGGCCGACTGCCTGTTTTAATGTGACATGAACTCAATAATTAAGAGCGTAAGAGACAGGAGAAACAATGGACGTATGGTCCATCAAGCCTGCTCCACGGCTCCCATTCACTAAGATTATGGTCGACCTTCTGCATAATTTCTACTCTCCTGAACGTTCTCCGAATCATCTCATACTTTGAGAAATCAAAGAAAGCCATTAAGACCAGCTTTGAATACGCTCAGTTGAGGGAGAATCTGATCCCTCAGTCGAGACTCCGAAAGCAAGGAAAACATGCCCTCCTGCGCCTACCTGTTGAGCCCTTTCAGAATTTTAAACATTTCAATGAGAACATCCTCTCGCTCTTCATAACCCTGCAGTATTTAGACCCATTTAATACAAACTCCCCGTGCTCTAATTCCTGGACTTGGGTAATCTCGTGAACCACTACGTCAACCTCCACAAGGCGACACGCACTGCGAACTTGAACAATCATCCGGTGGTCTTTATTTTTGTAATATTCAGTTTCCTGATTCTTTCTCCCAAGTAAAGAGCCCGATAGCCTACGTGATACTCCATCATCAGGCAGACCAAGTGGTGACCTTATAAAGGTTTATAAAGTCACGAAGATAGGGTGAACAGCCAAGGTCTTTTCCCCGGGGTAAGGGAGCCCAGAACTAGAAGGCATAGGTTTAAGGTGACAGAGGGGCAAGGCTTAAAAGGAACCTAAGAGGCAATTCTTTTCACACAGAGGGTGGCACATATATGGAATGATGACACGTTAAGAAATCCTCTCATGGGATGTTGGCATTGCTGCCAAGGCTAGGATTTGCTGCCCATCCTTCACTGTCCTTGTGGTGGCGGTGGAAAGATGCCTTCTTGAGTCACTGCACTGGCATTCAGATAGACTTAAAGCGCCCCTGAAGGAAGAGTAAAGGAACTGCAAAACAATTCCAATTCAGGGTGGGATGGGGCTTCCAGGGGAACTTGGAGATGGTAGCACGTGACAATGTTGCAGCTTTAAAGAGGTGTGTTTAGTCCTGGTTTCTTTCAGAGAGAGAGAGACTGGGGGAGGTGGGGGAAGGAAGAGGTCACGAGCAGTCTATCAGAAGATATGTGAAGCCTTGGATGTTCTTCTTAAAAAGTTGGAAGAACGGAAGCAGCCTGAATGTGTGGGGTCAAGCTCTGACCTACAGAACCGGGGATTTTAGGTTTAGCTTGCTGTTAGGGTCTTGAAGAAATGGAAGCTCCTGTTTCCCCACCTCTTAATTATAGCCAAAAGCTGGGGTTCTTTCCCTGGGCTGCTGGATTTCATGTGAGAAATAAAAAAATCATTTTTTCCAATTTGCCTTTTTGTCATGAGTGCATTAATGGGACGTTACTATATTGGAACGGTTAACTAGTAATAACCGCTATAATCTATCAATCATTCTGTTATATTTTCAAATAGAGTTATTCCAAGTTCTTCTTTCTTTTGTTGTATCTTAACTATAGGGTTTGAATAAATGATGCTTTGCTTAACATCGAGTAGTTTGGCCAGTCGCATTGCATCTGGAACACAACGCCTCACATTTATCTTTAAAATAAGAAAAGGTTAGGGTCTTAAGCTACCTTCTTAAAATATCTGGAGGGGTTCTGGTCCGGTTGATAATAGACGTTCCCATGGATCTGCTAAATCACGGGTAGGGACACTGCCATCAACAGGACCATAAGTGCAGATTCCTGAAGGCCCACACTGCAGCTGCTGTGTATCGCGGTGGGGGTGGGGGGAGTGCATGTTAAAAGGTAGCGGAGAAGGGCAGCGCTGAAACACACTGGGTGAGTCCCACGTGGAACGCTGCCTGAAGGCACTCGCTCAGCAGTGCCCGCTCACCTTTGACAGAGCCGACACTGAGCGTGCTGCAGGGCGGCAGGACCGTAGCTCCGCGGAACGCTCGCTCCAGGTTGTTGTGCTGCTTGGCCAGCTGTTCCAGGGTCTCCTCCAGCCGGATCCGCTGCTCCCGCTCATGCTGCAGCGCTTTCTGCCATTTCTTACTGTGAGTCTGGGCCAGGAGCAGGAAGTCACGACAAGCCTGACACAAAAGCAAGGCAGAAGGGAGGGTTAGGCAGCAGTATGCATGGACCATCCGCATCGTACCACACCGACGAGGAGCTGTATTAACATCAGTCCAGATACAGATACAGTCAGTGACGTAGGGCGCTGGGGGGAAGGGGGCTTGCTGAGTAACAGTGTGAGGGAGGGGGATTACCTTAGCAGAAATACAGGTCAGTAACACAGAACGCTGGAGGAAGAGGGGTTACTGAGTGACATGAGAGGGGAATGAAGCTCAGTGGAAACAGGGTGCCATGGGGAACAGGGTTACTGAGTGACAGTGTGCTTGAGCCGCATTAACTTCAGCAGAAATAGGTCAATAACACAGGGTGCTGTAGGGAGAGGGGTTACCAAGTGGGCATGAGAGGAGGAAGAATTAACCTCAGCAGAAACACAGGTCGGTCCTGTAGGGTACGAGAAGAGAAGTTCCTGAATGGCTCTGGTAGAGCCATTGTGGGAGCTGGGGACGTGGGGAGGGAGTGGCAGCTCACATTGATCATGGCGTTGGAGGTGATTCGGAAGAGCGTAGCTCGTTCGTTGACTTGCTTGATTTTCTCAGAGCTCTCCGGAGGCAGCTTGAGGTTCTCCAGCTCGCTGAGCGAACGCTGCAAGGCCGTGCCATGCTTCGCGATGAGGTCGTTGCACGTCGATAGGTCCTCCACCTTGCTAGTAAGGGTCCTCAACGTGTTCTGCACTTCTGTCTTATCCGTCTGAGAGGCCGGCTCCTCATCAGCAGAGTCATCTTCAAATTGAAGGAGGGAGTTAAATTACACAGCGTACTGGAGAAATTAACCTTCCACGTCACCTGCTCAACAGGATAGTTAATGGCTCACATACCCCCACTGGGAAAAATCATCTTTCGCATTCCCCATTCTCCTCCACCTCTACCGAGAAAAGTAGGACAGTCTCCCTATCAGAGGCAGCCAAGTGGGGCGGTTAACTCATTGTATCACGGGCGGCACGGTGGCTCAGTGGTTCGCACTGCTGCCTCACAGCGCCAGGGACCTGGGTTCGATCCCACCCTCGGGTGACTGTCTGTGTGGGAGTTTGCACATTCCCCACTTGTCTGCGTGGGTTTCCTCCAGTTTCCTCCCACAGACCAAAAACGTGTAGGTTAGGGTGGATTAGTCATGGAAACCGTAGGGTTATGGGGGTGGGGGACTCAGCGGGTCGATGTGGACCTGATTGGCCTGCTGCCACTCTGTAGGGATTCTACCATCTCTCCACGACACGGCAAGCGGTCAGTTCACCTCACATCTCCTACTCCACACCACCTCAAGCAGGACAGCTAAACCCGCACACCCCCCCCCCCAACCGCTTACCTCCAGAGGGACCCTTAAGCACTCATCACCACCCCGCATGCCTCAGGCAAAACAGTTTAACTGCTCATTCCCAACGGTACAGTTAAACGCTTCAGTTCCCAGTTCCCCCCGACAAGAGGACAGTTCCATAGTCACCAGGACATATAACCCCCCATCTGCTGTCTGAAACAGTTGCATGAATCACTGAATGAACATGCGTTTCAGAGTGCTGGACCACCATTTATTGCCCATCCCTAATTGCCCTAGAGAAGATGGCGGTGAACTGCCTTCCTAAATAGCTACAGTCCATTTGGTTCAGGTAGACCCATACTGCCATTAGGGAGAGACAGCCAGGATTATGAATGCAGAGACACTGAAAGAACAGTGGTATATTTCTGACACAGGATGGCAAGCAGCTGAGAGAAGAACTTACAGGTCAGAGTAGTCCTTCTCGATGGTAGTGGGTTTGGAAGTGCTGTCTAAGGAGCCTTGGTGAATTTCTGTAGTGCAGTTTGCAGCTGGTACACCCTGATGGTACTGAGCATCAGTTGTGGAGAGAGTGGACGTGGCACCAATGAAGCAGGCTGCTTTGTCCTGGATAGTGTTAAGTTTCTTGAGTTAGCGGGTGCTGCACCGATCCAGGTGAGTGGGGAGTCCTCCATCACACTCTTGACTTGTGGACAGTCTTTGGGGAGTCAGGTGTGTTACTTGCTGCAAGATTCCCAGCTTTTGGCCTGCTCTTGTAGCTCGCACTCAGTTAACCACTCATGTCCCACTCTCCTTGAGAAAAGGAACACCTCTACCAGGAAAATTCATCCTACACACCCTACTCCCTGCACAAAGACAGTTGAGCCCTCACAGGCCCCACTTGTCCCAGAGCAGTTAATCACTCGCTGCATTTTGGCCCGGTGTCCCTGGGATGGCTCATCTCACACCTCCACCTCTTACCTGATTCAGCTTGCATCTTGACAGCCTTGGCTTTGGCCAACTCCAGGGCCGTGATCCAGCGCTGCCTCTCAACCTCCGAACTGGCCTTTAGGTGGTAAGTCTGGGCTCCCCCATTGGAGATGATGAAATTGCATGAGTCCTCCACTGTGATGTTGGCCGTGGCGAGGTTGATCGTCCCACGGCATGTGTGCCCCATCTCTGCCTGGGTCCTTGGGGTCAGGGGTAAGGACAAATGCAGGGGGAAAAGAGAGAGACACAGGACAGACGGTGGGGGGGTGGTAGAGAAGAGCGAGAGAGAGAGACACAAGACACGGACAGTGAGAGAGCGGACAGACAGAGAGAGGGGTGGGGAGGGGGAGAGGGAGAGGGAGAGGGAAAGGGATAAACGGTTAAACAAACTACACATGCAGTGCATCCAATGCAGGGCACACTCGCCCTGCTCATTGTTTTGGTGGATCACATTTTGGCTATAGGCCGAGAGGTAAGAAGTAAACAACCTTCGGAATAGGTAATCAATATGCTGGGGGGTGGGGGGGCAATTAAAAATAACACCAATCAGAAAATGAGACTGCAGCTGCATACCTTTATCAGGAATAACTGCAGCTTTGTTAAATAATCTTTATACAAACTGGACAGGTCCAATTGGTCTAAGGGAGAAACTTGAGGAATATTTGTGTGAAGTTTCAAACTTATGAATAAGGAGCTCTCAACCCTTCGAGCCTGCTCTGCCATTCAATAAGATCTGATTTTAACCCGACCTCTACATCCTTGATAACGAAACAGGTGTCTACCTCGGCCTTAAAATTATTTTAAAATTCTGCACCCCCTGTCTTTTGAAGGGAATTCAAAAGACACGCAACCCTGCGAACATAAAAACAGGCGACCGCTTATTTTAAAATTATGACCCCTTTATTCTCGATTCTCCCACAAGAGGAAACATCCTTTCCACATCCACCTGATCACAGCCCATTAGGATGCTGTCTATTTCAATCAAGTCATCTCAGACTCCGACTCTTCTTAAGTCCAGAGGATACTCATCCACCCTGTCTAGACGTTCCTCTAAGGCAATCTGTTCATTCCAGGTATTAGTCTATTAAACCTTCTCTGAACTGCTCCCAATGCATTAATAACCTTCTGTCAGTATGGTGAACAATCCTGTACGCAGGCCCACAGCTGTGGTCTCACCAGTGCCTTCTATCTCTCAGCTTGTCTATTCAGTTCCCCTCCCAATAAATCATACCATTGAATGAGCTTTCCCGATTACCTTACATCCCTGCGCACTAACCTTGTGATTAATTCACTGGGACATCCAGAACCCTCTGCGTCTGAGAGCTCACCATTTAGATAATATGCTTCCTTTATATTCCTCCTGACAACTAGGCAACTTCACATGGGACACCAGCAAAACCTGCCGTTGCTCTTCTTCCCAGAGTATCAGTCTAATCCTTTATAATCGAGTGAAGGAGAAGACTAGACCCTGATGTAAATCATCTGGAAACAAGCAGCAGCAAACCCCCTCCACCAACCAGCACAGTACTCTTGGGATTCCATTCCCTGCAAAGTGCTCCACAGTATTCACTGGCTGGGAGATATTACACAAATACAAAGAAAAAAATGAAAGTTATGTAACTCCCCACCAGTCCACAACCTGGCAAAAAAATGCACCCCTTCAAATCAGGCAAACTGCATATCCCCTTTGCTGCCCATCGAGACTGCGGAGTTACCCCAGACAACACCAAGATTGATGGTATGGTGGACAGTCAAGGCGGCTATCCAAGACTACGAAGGGATCTTGATCAACTGGGGCTGAGGAGTGGCAGATGGAGTTTAATTTGGTAAATGAGAGGTGTTGCATTTTGGTAAAACAAACAAGGGCAGATTTATACAGTTAGTGGTAGGGACCTGGGTAACGGTGTAGAACAGAGACCAAGAGATTCAGATACATAATGTGTGTCACAGGTAGTCAGGGTGGTTAAGAAGGCATTTCACATACTTGCCTTCATTGCTCAGACCATGGAGTGTAGGATTCGGGATGTCATGCTGAAGTTGTACAGGACATTGGTTAGGTCTCTTCTGGAGTTTGTGACCAATTCTGGTTGCCTGTTATAGGAAGATTATTATTAAACGGGAGAGGGATGGTACATTGGCTCAGTGGTTAGCACTGCTGCCTCAGTGCCAAGGACCAGGGTTCAATTCCACCCTTGGGTGACTGTGGGGAGTTTGCACATTCTCTCCGCATCTGCTGGGGGTTTTCACTGGGTGCTCAGTCAAAAGATGTGCAGTTTAGGTGGATTGGCCATGTTAAATTACCCATTGTGTCCAGGTGCGTGCAAGTTAATGGATCAGACATGAGAAATGAGAGGTTACGGGGAAAAGGGTAGGGGATGAGTCTGGGTGGGATGACTTCAGAGGGGCGGTATGGACTTGTTGGGCCGATTGGCCTGTTTCCACACTGTAGGGATTCTATGATATGATTCTAAGAAAAGGTTTGAGATATATAAATAGATTGGAAAGACAGACAACATCTCCCCATTCCACCCACCGGGAGTGTAGCTGGTTGGCGGAGGTGACCTTACAGAGGTTTATGAAGTCATGATGGGCAGAGATAACGCAAACGTATGGTGTCTTTTCTTTAGGGTGGGGGTGTTCAAAACTAGGAGACATATTTTTAAGGTGAACGGAGAAAGGTTTAAAAAAGGACGAGGGGCAACTTTTTAATATTCAGAGCGGTTCATGTGTGAAATAAGCTGCAGAGAACATGGTGGATTCAGATATAGTTACAAGGTTTAAAAGACATTTGGATAAGGAAAGGATTGGTTGGGGGGTGGTGGGCGCAGGATATTGGCCAAACACAGGCAGACAGGACTAGTTTAGTTTGGGAACATGACAGGTATGGACTGGTTGAACTGAAGAGTCCATTGCCATACTCTATGACTGTCTCCCACTTAATAAGATGCTTAAAATCTACTTATTTCCCCATGTTTCAGGTCACCTTGCAAAGGGTACTAAAAGAGATGGCGGGAGAAATAGCAGGCGCACTGGCGGTAATTTTCCAAAATTCGCTGGACTCTGGGGCAGTCCCAGCAGATTGGAAAACAGCAAATGTGACGCCACTGTTTAAAAAGGGAAGTAGACAAAAGATGGGGAATTATAGACCGGTTAGCTTAACCTCTGTAGTGGGGAAGATGCTCGAGTCTATTATCAAGAAAGAAATAGCAAGGCATCTTGATAGAAATTGTCCCGTTGGGCAGACGCAGCATGGGTTCACGAAGGGCAGGTCATGCTTGACAAATCTTTTGGAATTCTATGAAGACATTACGAGCGAGGTGGACAATGGGGACCCAGTGGATGTGGTGTACCTAGACTTCCAAAAGGCCTTTGACAAGGTGCCGCACAAGAGGCTACTGCATAAGATAAGGATGCATGGCATTAAGGGTAAAGTATTAGCATAGATAGAGGATTGGTTGACTAACAGGAAGCAAAGAGTGGGGATAAATGAGTGCTATTCTAGCTGGCAGTCAGTGACTAGTGGTGTGCCTCAGGGATCGGTGTTGGGACCGCAATAATTTACAATTTATATAGATGATTTGGAGTTGGGGACCACGTGTAGGGTGTCAAAGTTTGCAGATGACACTAAGATGAATGGCAAAGCAAAGTGTGCAGAGGACTGTGAAACTTTGCAGAGGAACATAGATACATTGAGTGAGTGGGCAAAAGTCTGGCAGATGGAATACAATGTAAATAAATGTGAAGTCATACATTTTGGTAGGAGTAATAGTAAAAAGGATTATTACTTGAATGGTAAAAAGTTGCAGCATGCTGCTATGCAGAGGGACCTGGGTCTCCTTGTGTATGAATCACAGAAGGTAGGTCTGCAGGTACAACAAGTAATTAGGAAGGCAAATGGAATTTTGTCCTTCATTGCTAAACGGATTGAGATTAAAAGCAGAGAGGTTATGTTAGCTGTACAAGGTGCTGGTGAGGCCACACCTGGAGTACTGTGTGCAGTTTTGGTCTCCTTACTTGAGAAAGGATGTATTGGCACTGGAGGGGATGCAAAGGAGGTTCACTAGGTTGATCCCGGAGTTGAGGGGGTTGGCTTATGAGGAGAGACTGAGTAGATTGGGATTATATTCATTGGAATTCAGAAGATTGAGGGGGAATCTTATAGAAACATATAAAATTATGAAGGGAATAGATAAGATAGAAGTAGAGAGGATATTTCCACTGGCAGGTGAAGCTAGGACAAGAGGGCATAGCCTCAAGATTAGAGGGAGCAGATTTAGGACTGAACTGAGAAGGAATTTCTTCACCCAGAGGGTTGTTAATCTGTGGAATTCCTTGCCCAGTGAAGTAGTTGACGCTACTTCAGTAAATGTTTTTAAAAAAAGGTAGATTTTTTTTGAACAATAAAGGAATTAAGGGATATGGTGAGAACGCGGGTAAGTGGATCAGAGTCGACAAAAGGATCAGCCATGATCTTATTGAATGGCGGAGCAGGCTCGAAGGGCCAGACGGCCTACTCCTGCTCCTAGTTCTTATGTTCTAAAGCCGGACATGAACTATTCATTGGGCAAAGTCTCCCCATGAAGCGTATTGGGAAAATTCGAAGCAACTTGCGACAGAGTATTTACTTAAATCGCGGAAACAGGTCTTCCAGTGAAAAATGCAAGTCGTGGCTGCTGCAAACAGAGGGGTGTGTAATGTGTACAGCAGCCACCAGGCGGAGCTGGAGACAGCAGTTGGACGAGAAGCTGACGGCCCCAGGCTGAGCCACAGGCGCCCTCTGCTGCTCATCAGAAACGTTGCAATTCCCACTGCTATGGCAATTGAATATGCCTCCACCATGCTTGCAGGCACAGATATAACATAATGCCTATTGCTCTCAGTACAAGTGGGGACAGCTTCTACTCAATGGAGATTCAATGGGCCAAGGACCCAAAACATAACTTTTTCACGCAGAGGACGGTGCATGTATGGAAGGAGCTGCTAGAGGAAGTGGAGGGGGCTGGTGCAGTTACAACATTTAAAAGGCATCAGGATGGGTATACGAATAGGAAAGGTTTAAGAGGGATACGGGTCAAATGCTGGCAAATGGGACCAGGCCAGATTGCAATGTCTGGCTGGCATGGGCGGGCTACACTGCGCTGTATGAATCTATGACTCCTGTAAGGATTCCAAAATTCTTTCTTCCAGCTCAGTCTG